ACCCAAACCTTCGGGAAATACGTCGTTTTCGCATCTAAACCCCGAAAATTTTTCGGAAATTCCAGCCTCATGACAGGGTGACATACGCCCTACGAGCGATTTTTCGCACTCTCACTCACCTACCCTTTAAATCGCTAGTATAGCTACCGCAGAGCCACTCTAGTCCAGGGAGGGCAGATTTTTTTTGGAACCTGAATTCTCACTGCGGGTACCATAACTAATAATAGCTAAAAATTAAGAAATCCAGCCTAACCGCTATCCCAGACCAGCTTCACATCTGAATTCCCCCTAATCACACCATATAATCCCATCCCTTCTGCCAAAACTCGCTATATCCACCGTATAAACCTAATTAATTAATTTTTTTTCAGCAGAACTACCCACCTCCAGGCCAATACGGTCCCAACTATGGCCAAGGCTATCCACCACCCCCAGCCAACTACTACCCGCCACCTCCACAACAACCCTACTATCCACCACCACAACAGTAAGTTCCAAAACTTTCTCCCAAATACCCTCAAAACCCAAACCAAAATCAAGTCCAGTCGCTTTTTCATTCTAAAAACTTAAAAAATCCAACTGAACAACGACATTCCCACTGAAAATTCCCACAAAACAAGTATTTTTCCTTCCGAAAATCTCAAATTCATCTCAAAATCTCAAAAATCCCCTTCAGAGAGCGTCGCAGCGGCGGATCTGGACCAGGCCTATGCTTAACCGCCCTGTTGGCGATGTGCTGCGGCTGCTGTATGGGTGAGTGCCTGGATGACTGCTGTGGAGACGGCGATTTCTGCTGTTGCTGTATATAGACCTCTAATCACCCCCTCAGGTCAACCCCCCCTCCCCCTTAACCTTAATCAGGCCATATGCCATATTGTATATTTTACTGTATAGTTACCACATATACCTACTTACTCGTATGCATTACTCATTACTCAAGTACTTTTTCATTTTATAAGTGATAAATTCAAAATGTTACTCGAATCTACAAATGTGATGTGATGTTCTACTAAAAATACGAACCAAATCAATAAATGATATCCACGAAAATCAGTCCAACGGCACCACAATTCAATTCAATTAAAGTAATAACGCAAAATTTAACGGTAATATAACGACGCACGATCGATTTAACGATAATTTTAACGACGAATCGAGTACTCGTTAACGACACGTCAAAACGAAACAATACTTTATTTTATATCACAATCTTGCCAAAACATAAACCAGACCAACTAAGAGATCAGTTAAGATTAAGATTAATCAAAAGTCACAAATGGTATTGATGCCATTTGTGACTTTTAGTTAAGATTCTTCGAGGAGTGTCTTTTAAGTCACGGAAAGGACCCGCTAGACCCCATAGGAAGTAATCCTTGGCTTGGAAAGGCAGAGGGGTCTGGCCTAGACGTTGGGGAGCAAAAAAAAATTTCCAACTGATAGCCCTGTCACCCTATCGGATTCACGGCTCATCAGACAGACTCATATTCATATTCTCTCCTAAGCAATCACCAAATTCTTTGCATTAGTCACAAATGTAAAAATGACACCACACATAAAATCTACACGTATGATCACAAAACAAATCAAATTAATCAAATTAATTAAGGTAAAACAATCAAATCAATCATACCAATGGTAACAGATCATATCAATGAGCACAATACTCATACATATCACCGCCGCTCTGCGACAACTCGCCAAAATCGCTCCTTCCATAATCCAGCGAGCGATTTTTCGGACACCCGGTCACCCATCTTCTTCCTCATATCAA